AGGCCTCGCACCGCCTCACATTTCCTCCCGCTGCTGCAACTGCAGCCCCTGCCAAGGCCAGGCTGCCCCCCCCCATGACATTCCTTAAGAGCACTACGATTTCATTTGGCCCCTTTTCTGAGCTCCCTCCGTCCTTCCAGACCACTGCAGGCTGTTTCTGGAAGCAGTGGCCACCGATGTCCCCTGAGATCCCCACTTTCCAAGGCCTTCCTCAGCCATGGCTTCTCCTCCAGACCATCCAGGTCCAGCCATGAGACATCCTCTCTCGCACCCGGGTCCCTCTGGCTTCCTCAGGTCTGGGATGGGGTGGGAGAGGCTCGGTCCAGCCGGCAATCCCGCTGTCGGCGTCCCCTGCCCCAGGGGGACCTGCAGTGCTCAGGCCTGCCCCTGGCCTGCACGCCAAGGGCCCTGCACACTTGCCTGGGAGGCCCCTGCCAGTCCAGTGTCTTTTTGGAGGTGACTGAACTGGGCCGTGACCCCCACCCAAGCCTCCCAGGGCAGCCCAGGGCAAGCTCAGGCCGTGCTGGACCCAGGGTCGCCCCTCCCCTGGACATGGCTCTGCCACAGACATAGGTGCCACCCTTGGAGTTGGAGCCATGGCTGGGAATGGCTGGAGTCCGCAGGAGGCTGGACACATCTGCTGTTAAGTCTAGGCCAAGGGTTAACTCTTCCCTTTCCGGGCCTCCCTTCCCTTTGGAGGGAACAGGGAATAACGGTGGGGAGGTGGTACCCATTTCGCCCTTCCTTAACTGAGAAGCAAGAAGAGGGAGGGAAGAAGGAAAGGCCTGCTCCCCCCGCCCCGCCCCCCGAAACCTCAACTGGCGCTTCGTAGGGGTGTGGGGAGTGTTTGCTTTTCAGAGTCGTGGTCCCTGGACGTTACTGAGAGTCCCCAGGAAATCGGAGATGACAAATACCTTTATTTACAGCGACAAATAGAACAGACCCTCCCTCCATCCCCTCTCCCCTTCCAGTCTTTTCCATACCCTTCCCCCTCCCGCCCCGCCCAGGTCCGAGCCCAGCTCTGCGCGCTGGGGTCACTGTATGGGTCACCCCACCCCCACCCCCAAAGCCCAGGAAAGAGGAGCGGGGAGGGGCTGGCTGAGG